TCCTCTGTTTCTGGACTGAGATTAACCACTCCCTTATTCTTGTTACAAAACTTCTACTTTACAACTGTGATTGTCACAATTTTTCATGATAACAATTATTCACTATTGAATCATACAAATCTTATCCCCATCTCTTTTCACCAGACCCATCTAGACAAGAAGAGAACTATACAGTGGGGGCTCTTTCTTTCCCCCAACACTCTTAAACTAAACTCCCTCTTGATACTTTGTAAGCCAGCCACTTCATGCCTTTACTGTCCCCTCATTTTAGGTAGCCAGTGCCTAAGTTGCCAGTCCCTGGGTACAGAGGGGATAGCACTGATACTTGAGGTAAAGACTCCTTCCCTCTCTGTTGGAATTTAGAGTTACTACCTCCATAAGATTAAGTCATGCTCATCAAATTGTAGCAATTTACCCTTGCTTCCTTTATCCAAAATTTTTGTTTGTTTGTAATCTTCCTCTAGTCAAGTTCTGATTACCAAGCAATCAAAGCTAGATCAAATGGCTACTGTCTGCAAGTTTGGGTGTTCTTGTGCATCTCTCCTTACTTCATATCAGCTGGATGCTTCACTCTCAGCTCTAGCCCTCTACAACTATGTCCTTGTCCATGGGCTCAAGTGTCCTCAGGTCTCATCACACTTTGGACCAACCAGCCCTTCCTCTTCTCTCTTTCATCTCCAGATCAATGGCAGTCAATGGACTGTGGTTGAACTCAGCCCATTTCTTCATTGCTGCATTTCCCCCTCTTCCACTCACCAGTAGACCAGTATAGTAGCCAGCAAGCTTACATTCCTGTTCATGTGTTCCTTTTGAGTTTCTGTCTTAGAGGGGCATTTGTCCTGAAGGCACTTGATTGCGTGCCTTGATGGCTTCCTTGTGAACAGCTTGCTCATTCTTGTAGTAGCCAGTCATGCTGACATTTTTGTTTTTGGGATTTTCCTGATGATATTTCTTTGAAGATGTATCTTCTGTAGCTCTAGCTGTTCGAGGCTGGTCTGCTTGTCCTTGCTAGTGGGAATGTCCCACCTCATAAGGTTCTGGATAAGACTCAGAATTCCACCTAAGGTCCTATACTCTGCAAAGGCTTAGCAAGATGCCTATTTCACTGGGAAAGTTCTAGAACCCCTTTAAGATATTCTAATCAGTTATAGGCTGAAGATAGGCTTACAATTTTTCTCTAATCATGTTTTCCAACATTCCTTTCTATCCCACTCGTGTCTATTTTACAATGGTAGGAAGGGAAACCAATATTCATAAGACAGTCAAGCATTTTAGTATCATTTCCCCTCTTCAAACTATGCCTAGATCCCTATATCACAGAGCCCTGTTGTTCCAAGGTTGAACATGCATCA